TACAATGATAAGAGTTTGTACCAATGGACATCATCATTTAGGTGACCTGGACAGAACAATATCCAAACACAGGCTTGCTCATAATATTTACATACAATGTTATTGCAAAGAAAAATTCGCATTAGGTGTATCTAAACTTACAGTAAAGTGTAACTAAAGGCAAAACTTTTTTCTTCATTTTGGAAAGTGTAAGAGAGGGTTATAGCCCTGTCTATCTACTCTTAGATTGTAAGCTCCCAGGATCAGGGCCCTCCTAACCCTCTTGTATTGAACTGTATTGTTGCTGTATTGTCTCCCGTTATATTGTAAAGCACTGAGCAAACTGTTGGCGCTATATAAATCCTGTATAATAATAATACCCGTAGGGGAGTTTTCCCTTTATATCCTGTCCCAAAACAAGAGAGAGGAAATCCCTCCAAAGTGAAGGAATCCTGAATTACCTCTAGAACTAGTGCCCCCATTGGAAGATTTCCCCTCTATTACTCTTTTAATGTCAACCTAAAATTCAAGATTTTCTTTTTCCATAAGAATTATTATTAAACGAAAAGCAAGTACAATCGTCAAACATATCATGACATTGTGTGTAAGTATAAATACATCAACTTTAGGTTCAGTCAAATAAAAGCTATGATAGAGACATAGCTATATGGGTTGCAGGGGTCGCCCTTGTGACCCCGCCCATGTTTCAGGGGGGGCCCAAATGGCTCAATTGCTAAACTGGCAGCCTTAGCTCAGGCAGAAGGGTGGTCCCTGAATGGTCATGCCATCGGGCACGATGTAAATTAAAGGCACATCTTATCCAATGCACCATTTTGCGGTGTAGCCTAAAATTCAGCATCCCGTCAAATTCGGCACCCCTGCCCCCCCTGCGGTTTGTGGGCATGCGCCATCTCCAGCTCCCTCAGGGAAGTAATCAGGGGAATAAGTCGAGCACCGAGAGCTCAAACCAAGCTGTTAACTCTATTCATGCCGGAGCGTGTACACAACTCCTTATAGAACATCTCCTTACCACCTCATCTCCATAAAAAAGCAAGGGCATTATTTAACTTTCGTCAAAGCTGCACAGTTTGTTTCTATCCATAGGTGCCTGTTACTTGCATAGGCAGTTAGTAAAGGTGAACTAACCCTTTCATTTAATTACATTACAAAGTTTCTTCCCATGACATGTTCCATGCACCCCTTGCATGACCTATGTAAATTGTATTCTGGTGCTTTCTCATTTACATATTAATGTACTGCAAAGTGAGAATGTACATCCTTGTTTAATATTGCCTTTAAAGATGCAGATCAATTGGAAGGGGGGACTTGGAAAATCACACATCACATATCCAGCATAAATGGGACTATCAAAAGGCTGTTTTATCAAGTAGTAACTATTGTGGATGTTATTGTTTTTTATTCTGTAACATTTATCATTTAAAAGCAGCCCTTGCACTCCAGGCAAGTCATTTTGCCTAGTTTGATATGTCATCAGTCTGCTGCAGGCAGGATGAAGCATTTCTCCAATCTCCTCTTTCCCAGGGATCAGACTTTGAAGCAAGTCTCAGTCTTTGAAGCAGATGCTGAACATAGGTAATGTCTAAACAAAATACAACACTGTCCCTGCATGGGCAAGACACAGGTTCAATTAATGGACAATGCCAGGAATCTTCAAGATTGTATTTGTAATTCTAAATTGAAGAATGGATTGTATAGCAGTTATTTATGTTATATCCTTTTTAAATAGCTTTAATTGTATACTCAACTGCTGTCTAAATCTTCTTTATTATGCTCTGCAGGGGGCCTCTTCCCAAACCAGCAATCCCAGGAACATGCCGCCTTTCGTTTTGCATTATCGCAGCTGTTGGAGCCCCCAAAGCTTCTACCCCAAATTGATATTGTGAATATCAGCGACAGTTTTGAAATGACCTACACCTGTAAGTACTGAGATAAACCATTAAGAGCTGATTTGCATCTTATAATGTCCAATTTAATTTTTTTTTCCAGTGGCCATCTATTGGCAGCTCTTGTACTGAGTACAAGAGGTGCAAATGCTTTAAGCTGTTTGCTGTAGCAGAACGCAAGACGCTTATCTTAATTAAAAAGTATTTACTAAAAGTCTCTTGGCTGAAAAGATAATGGAAAAGGAGCTGAAAAAAATACGTCGTGTTTATCCACAAGAAAAGGCTAATTAAAGTTGAAGGCTAAAAAAAAAAAGAAAAAGTTTAGATTATTTTAATTGAAAGTTGTTAAAGGCCAACTCTTGCTAAATGCACAAATGGCACATGTACATGAGAGATTCTTTAGTTGCCAAAAAGATTTGTTAAGCACTTTATATATTCTTACCATCCATACCATTCCATCTGACAGCCCTGCATTGCTATACAGCTGCAGAATATCAGGAGGAAGATGTCACTTTCATAAAACTGTTGTTCTTCAGACTCCCTGCCACCACCATGTCTCATGCCTGCTCTTGTATTGCTACAAAATGTTACCAGTCCAATACTATCTTCCTTCGCTATCTGCTCAGGGCCAGATTAAGAGCATCATGGGCCTAGTCTGGTGCTGAGGATTTTGGTGGGCCTTTTTATGGAAATCCACAGAGTTCCCCCCTGACACAAGAGTTCCCAGAGCTTTACTTACATCAGAATCCCCAAAGTTCTCCTTTAAATCAGAATTCACAAGGTTCCCCCTTATAATGCAGCAAGGTAGAACGCTGCAGACTCTGATTTAAAGGGGAACCCTGCGGACTGTGATATAAGGGGGAACTTTTCTGTAAAGAGGAACTCTGACATAAGGGGTCTATGGTCACCAAAACCCTCCTCCCCCTTACATCAGAGTCTGCAGACATCCCCCTTACAGGGCAAGTGGGAACTCTGTAGACCCTGATATAAAGGGGAACACTGCAGACACTTGTGTAAAGGGGAAGTCTGCAGTAAGGGGGTCTCTGGTCACCGAAGTTCCTCCCCTTATATCAGTATCTACACTATGGTAAGGGGGGGCACTGATGTAAAAGGAGAGTGAGGACACTGTTATAAGGGGGAACCCCTTACCTTGGGGTCCCTACTCCCCCTTTACATCAGTCACCCCCACCAGACTGTAACAGTACATTTTCCGGTGCAGGCCATGTCACTGAAGGCAGGATCCTTCTCTCCTCCCCTCCCTCTCCACTCCCATGCAGTCTATTTAAGCCACCAAGTGCCATGATGTTAGCTTGCAGTGTGCACCGGAACCAGCAGACCAAACCCCCCCCCCCCTTTCCCTTGCCCGAGCCAAGCTGAGCCAGCCCAAGATGTAGATGGAGAGATGTAAATTGAAGTGCCCTGGATCGATGAGTGAGGATGAAGGGCGAGCAATAGCATGATACAGACTGCCAGTACTCCGAGCTCAGCTGGTCAGAAATCGTCTGATATCAGAGTTGCAAATGCACAATGGTACCTTCCATTGACAATTATGGATGGGAGCCAAGCGCCTTGTTTTTCACAAACACTCTCTATAACAAACATTCAGTAATTCTGCTCTGGGGGGTTCAGACCCCCCAACCCCATTATCTATTTCCCTGCCATCGGCCCATTGCTTTTAGTGTGTTGTTTTTGGGCGGCTGGGCCTATGTTAAGGTAAGGGCCTGGTGCTACAGCTCCAATATCCCCTACATTAATCTTGCCCTGCCTCTGCTTATTAGGTTACAAAGTAGTTTTCCAACCACAAATCTGATTTCTACTTTCAGATGGCAATGCATCGAAAAATATGTGTAGATTTTTGAAGAAAACATGTTCTTTTTTTTATATGAAGTATTTATTTAAAAAAGTATTAAACCTAAAAGCAAAAATTTATTATATTGCAGCTTACCATTTCTTAAACGTGGTGTCTGCCATACTTTTCCTTTTTAGGCTTTATTTCATTTATTGTCACCTGGTGATCCAGCCAATAAGTCTGTTGTTTTTCAATAGAACAAGTTTTCCTGCAAACGTAGCAGGCACTTTGTTGGGACAAACCATTTACCACTGACCGGGGTGCTTATAATGATCAGCTTTAATTTATTTATTTAAACCACTATCTTAAAAGGAAAAAAAAAACTGTTGCTGTAACTGTTTGTGTAACTGCAGTGAGAGCTTGGCTTGAATGTGTTAGTGCATCTAAATCTGCTAGTATATCTAACACTCCCTTCCCTCCAGATTGACAAGGCTACTTTCCAAATGTACCCCTGTCAATACAGAAGGTGTGTTGCTGGCCAGATCACCAGGCAAAAACAGAGGGGAAAAGCTTAAAAAAGAAAACTATTGCAGCCACCACATTTAATGATTGGTAAGCTGCAATATATCATATTTATGGTTTTGGTTTTAATACTGCTTCCTGGATTCAGTATACTGTCTGCAGTTTTTTTTTCTCCACATTGTGCTTATTAGTGCTGGCACCTGCAATCGCTTTCAGCAGGGTAGATTTGTGGTTGAATGTGATGTTCCATGAGCTTATCTGTGGTCAGGTTGCTGCTGAACCCCATGCAAATTACACCTTATCCCAAACCTCTTGTATCTATCAACTGAAAGTAAAATGTTTGGCTGGGTTGTTTTTTCCTCTTTGTTGACCACCAGCGAACAGGAATGCCTGGACAGTTAAATAATTGTCTGGGTACCATAAGATCATCACAAACTCCCTTGGCTATACGTAGATGTGGTCAACCCAGGGTTTAGCCATACACCAACTTCCTGCTGGCTGCATTCACAGATCACTAAGCATATAAAGAGATGCATTCAAAAACTACCATAGTTAAAAATCTTTAGCCTGGTTGTTTATACTATACAAAATAAAACTGAGTTTTATTATAATGTAAAGGTTAGGGCAGGAGCGGACTGACCATTTGGAAACTCGGGCACTGCCTGAGGGCCCAGGGTCAGTAGGGGGCCCCATGAGATGCCCCTGGTACCTTTTTCATAGGCTTTTTTGCGTTTTGCGTTTTGGGCAAGGACACAGGGGCCCCATGATCCCCTATTGCCCGGGAGCCCCATGAGTTGTCAGTCCACCCCTGGGTTAGGGGTATATGAGTCTTGTACCTTTGCAGTAATTTATAACTGATCATTTTTCTCAGCAATTTATAGCATCATATTAGTATACATTACTTTCAAATGACTGTTATTCTGAATTTTATTTTTGTGTACCTTTCTCGGTCAGGATATGAATCCTGAACATTTTAAGTGATTTTGGATGTTTTTCCACTTCAATGTGTGAATCTTTTTAATTAGCTCATAGGCAGTTGCTTCACTGTTCACTGATTTCAGTTATAGGAATTCATTTTATCTGCCTTTTGTAATGAAGTAAATATTCTGGTTGCCTAAATATGGAGTTAAATTAAAAAAAAACAGTATTATTTCTAATACCATTTCCAGTTCTAAATTAACTCCCACCTTGAAAATGCTACCACTAACATGCACCTGGATGAAGTCATCCACTACAACATTACAGTGGCTCTGAACTAACAAAATAAGATTTGCTATTTTAAGTGTAGCATTACCCCCTTGAGAGCACCTGATTCCTCTGTATTTCCTGCACAGCTAGGCAACATGCATTTTTCCAGACACAAGAAACAGTCCGTGGGCTTGGTTTTTAGGATGTATTAGGGAGTTCAGCTTGGATAGGGTAAAGGGATTATGGGATGCCCAACTTGATTGAAAAATAAGAAAATGAGGACAATTTCCTTCTCTAGAATACTGCAAAATTACAGACTTTTGACTGGGTTCCAGCCAGACACACAACAGTCTTTAGCAAAGTAAAGTGAGTTTTCAGCAAAGTGGCAATCTGTAGGAGCTCTGGGTCCTCTTTGTGGACACAATACCAGCACACCTGGCTACAGTATCTGATCCCAGGACAAGGGATTGGGTAACCTATAAACGGTCCTCTAAAGACTTGCCAATAATTTGCATTTAGCATACTTCTTCCTTATAGGCCCTAGGGGCTGCAGATGTATTCACACTGTCCTTGTCCTGCAGCTGTGAATAGAGCTGCTTTCAGGCCTTCCCCTGGGCTGGTTCTTTTCCAGGCTATGCAGGCTGTCCTTCCCTGGTGGACTGCAGGGCAATGGAGCTCCCTCTTTTAGCATTCCTTCTTCCTCCAACCTCCAGCTTGGAGGCAGAACCCTCATTCTCCAGGGCCCTGTCCAGGCTACACAGCAGTACTTCACTCCTCCATCTTCCACCCGACTCCCCCTTTCTGGCCAGGCTCTGCCATATTTATGGGCCAGTCTTCCACACTGCCAGGCCTCCTGCCTGGGATTGGTCAGACTCCCATAAATATGCAAATCAGCCCATCCTCAACTCTACCTACTGACTTCTAGAATCTTCTCCAAGCTTATAGAGCAGGGGGACTGACCTGTAGAGCCTTCCAGCCTAACCCGGAGTAAGCCTCTGTCTAAACCCAGGCTTCTAGCAAGCCTCTAACTACACTCAACAAACTATCTACACTAGAGGAAGCTACATTGGGAAAATCTAGAAATTTTTAATTGTGCTTAAACAGCTCCTTTAAAAATATGAAGTTTCTCTGGAGTACCTCCTGAAAATTAGCAGTGCATTTCCTAGTATGTGAATGTGCCTAGACACTCCTGTGTCTACAGCCTCATAGTATATATCTGCAGTGTGAAATCTACGGCACTGCTGCTTCTGACTGGTGTGAGATTTGGTGATGTCACAACTGTCCTGATCAATGTTTTCATTGCTGGAGGTTGTGACACGAGGAAGCAAAACCCTGCCTCTATCAAGGTCACCTGCACACCGAAAAATAGTGCACAGCAAAGCATGGTAAATCAGTGATAGGGAAAATGAGTGACAACTGGCTCTGGCTCCAACTGAGAACTGAACACTCAGCAGTCATGTGATTGCTCAGTTCTCGGGCTTAAACCTGGTGGGGGACAGCTGCAGCGTGGAAGTGAGTATGTATGCTGACTGTTGAAGATGGATAAGATATTAACACATTTTATGTATACATGTAATGTCATGAGGAGGTCATATATCTGGGCGTACTCCCCATGGTCCTTTTAAATAGGGCAGATATTTATATGTGTCCAATATTATACCTGTCAAAATAAAGCATATACATTTTATTATAACTGTGTGGTCTCATGTGGTGCCTATACTATCTAGTCTTTCCAGTGGTTCTTTTTTCCAAGTATGTATGCTTGTTTTTTTATCTACCCCAAACATCTCCTTTAAAGAGCCAATGGTGTTGATTTAATATAAGATTATAGGCCTCTCACTTAACAAAGTGAATTTTCACTTAGCTTAGTGAATGATGTGAAATTGTGCACAGACAAAAGTCTGTTTTTGTTTCCATTTTCCATGGACATGATTAAGTGCCGGTTCACATATGTGCGGATTGGATGCTTCCTATAGTGCCTGTTCACATATGTCCTGTGCACTCAAAGGGATACACAAGAAACACTACAAAGTTGCATGTGACCCTCAGGCTGCAGGATGGGCATCAGAAGCCATACAGCCCTGAACAGGTTCCTTACTTTATCACAACATCTCTTTACTGGCGTTGTTGGGTTTGCAGTAGGGTTGCCACCTCATCCCTTTAAACCCAAACACATAATAATTACACAGGTTCTAATTTAATGCAGATAAGGCACTAAGTGAGTTTAATTACCACATCAATCAGCCCCAGAACTGGTGTACTTAATATATGTTCGGATTTAAAGGGATGAGGTGGCAACTCTAGTTTGCAGGTAGGGACTAAGCTGCACAAAACCCCCCAATTTTAGGTTGTGAGGATACAGAAGAGCCTAATGGCATTGAACACCTAGCTCATTTATTGGGATGGGCCTCAGTTTTTGGAGAACCCCTTCTGAAACACACACTAAAGTCATGCAGAGAGTATTCTTTCCTGTTTAGTAGATCCTGTCTACCAGCAGATCAGCAGACTCCTGTGAAGTGGATTTTTCTTTATTCGTTCATCTGTAGTGTACAAGATAGTACTAATTCTAGGGATTATTAGTCACATTAAGCTTAAATCAATAAACCATTAGAATGTATTTAAGGAGCAAGTAAATGGATTACTGGACACTAGATGGTGATCTATCAATAGCCATTGTATGGCTAATTGAAATAAATTGTGCACAGGAAATACTAAAATGTACACATGAAGGAAAATACCAAAAAGACTGGTTAAAGTACTAAAAGAAAAAAAGGATCTGCCATTGCTGACCTCCTTATGAATATTTTTTTTGTCTTGCTGTGCTAATTTATGTACTTTCTGAGTCACCTCCTAAAACTAACAAGCAGCAAGTGAAGTATGTGCATACTCAGAATAGGCATACACACAATGCCTCATGTGCATACTTGTTCTGAGTCAGCGACTTCGAATGTGTTGAACCTATTACACTTTAAGTCAAAAGATAGAAGACATCCCCATTTCCCTTTCACCCCTACCAGCAGTGCAGATACTACACCCCAGGCACTTCTGTGCTATGTAGGCAGCATCTTTGAAGAATTTGTTGCCAATATTTGTTTTAATGTCAAGCATCTCTTTGAGATCAGAATCTGAAAACGTTAGCAATGATGTTCTGCACGCTTCCGTCTGAAAAAAGGTTCTGCTAAAACCATCAATTCTATGATCTAGATAGAACAAGCATGCAAGTCAGGAAAGTCAGAGTAAATTAAAAAGTCTTTAAGTATGTGTTTGTTCCAGGTCAGTTCCAGTGTGATGAAGCCTTTGCATTAGTCTGACAGCCAGGCTGCTAGCATTTTCAGAGATTTTAGCAATTGCCATGTTTCCTTAAAGGATAAGTTCACCTTTTGGACAAAAATAATAAATGCACTTTTTTATGGAGTTAAAAAAATGTGCATTTATTATTTTTGACCAAAGCAGCTTGTAAAGCATTGCACCAGCGATCAGTAGTCGCTGATGCCATGCAGGTCTCCTGCAGACCTGTCAGAATATCTGCTTGACGTACGGGATGTACAAGCAAGCAGATATACTGACAGGAAGCTTCAATGAACTACCACAGCACCCCACAGAACCCCACAGCACCCCACAGCACCGTGATAGTTAGTTGAAAACTACAAGCCCACAGCTGCTAAGGCTGTTAAGACTTGTAGGCACTCATCCACAGAACACTGTGAATGAATGCGGCCGTGTGGGTGAAGACCCGCACAGCCGCCCTGTTTTCAAATCTGATGGATAGTACGGGGAAACTTCACCCTGTACTATCTGTCAGAGGGAGGGGGGGGGGGGCGGCAAGCATGGCTGAAGCTATGGGAACATGTTACATGTTTCACCCTAAAAATGGGTGGAACATGTAACATGTTCCAAAGGTGAACTTATCCTTGTAAACTATTTGACAAGAGATTAAGGGGTTATTGCAGCCCAGAACTTGTTTTCAAGTGTACTGAAGGCTCCCGGTCTTCACATAGAAGTGATTACTGCTGGACAATTTATTATCTATGAACAATTTTGGATATCGTAGTGTTCTGTGGGTACACACAATTTTGAGGCTTGACATATTTAGTATGTATTACTGGACAGAATCTCCTTTTTTTATATTTAACCAAAAACTGAGATTATATTGTGTTTGTGTGCACTAAAATGAATTTGAATTGTATTTTGGCTAAAAACAGCTGCGAAGATATTGTACCATGTAAAAAAATTGCAACTACCATATATTCTGCTTTCTGAAAATGTGTAATGTTTTGAGGTTTTAAGTAAACTTTCAGCCAAAAATGATATATTATAGCATGTGTATGAATAATGTAAAAACGATCTGGCAGCAAAGCGTTAAACCGATACTAAAGTCAAACTTTTTCAAATGTAATTGCTTCTTTGTTGGCATTTTTTTTAAGTGACTACCCTCAGCTCCTGTCTGTGGGTGTCTCCTATAGGTTGTGCACTATGCTCACAGCGAGCATAGTGCAGGGCCATGCCTCCTGGGATATGTGAACTGCATATCCCAGGAAGCATGGCCCTTCATTGACAAAGAAGGAGGTGGGGCGGGCCTAGCGGCACATCATTGGGTTCCATGAAGAGCCAGCAACCTCCCAATGCAGTCAAACAAAAACATGGCAGCATGGGACCTGAGTGGTGGCAGAAAAGAAGAGGATTCTGTAGGACAATGCTGGATTTGATGGGTGCTTGAGTATCTAAAATGTGAAACGCCCTCAACGCGGTCAGCAGGGGATAAAAGAAAAATAAAATTGGGGGAGAGTCAATACCCATTTTAATGCTATAGGGCATTAGGGAAAAAAATGTTTAGCTCTTACTACTACTTTAAATCCCAGTTGAAGACATGCAACAGATATGCAGTAAGATAGATGCTATACTAACAGCTTCTATATTCATGGTCTTACTTCCACTTTCTTGCTACACTTTACTGTAGAGATCATGCACTCTGAAATCAGCAATCAGTAAGAGTTTGGTCAGACTTGCCCTTCTCTTCTGCAATACAAGTCTGTGTGAAGACACTTGAGTGGTGTGGTTATTACTCAGCTATGCCAGCACAAAGCACCGAAGTGTGAGAGCAGGAAGCAGCATTTTTTACTATTTTTTCAATGAGAGAAAAGGGAATTTTAAAGTATTGCCTAGAAAAAAATGGTTCACAAATTACAACATGCAGGAAAACAGCACTTAAAAAGATTAGAAAGTTTGAGACCTCAACTGCGCTTTTAAATTAACTTTGAAATACTGGAGGATAAAAGCGTAATGATATACCTACAGCCCATTTCATCTCCTCCTTCACCGGGTTCTAATCTAACATACATTTCAGCAATGTATTTTTTGACAATTATACCCTTTTCTCATTTGCCTTTGACATTCCCTTGGTAATACATTCCGACATCTGTGTGAAAAAGGTCATTTCCCCGATAGTGACAATGAATTTGTAAAGTTTTGATTTGCAGTCAGGCTAAAAAAGGGAAAATGAGTATGCATTGCCTCACTGCCACCACCCTCTTCAAATGTATTTGATATTCACCTTGTTAGTTTTAGAAATCCACACATTGTCTTCAAGGGATATTTAATTACCTTCAGTTTCTGAGACAAGATTCCTATATTAATATTAATTTGTATTTATCCATTTTAATGTGGCAGATTGCTGGGAAGCCGTGTTAAATGGAGAAGATAGTTATTATTTTTAAAAATTGATATTCTTGTCATTCATGAATTATACTCACTGAAGGCGCAGATAAAATCAACTTCAGGATAAGTGAGTTTACATAGATATGTAAGATATCAGAGATTGTTTCAATACAGAGACTGCAGGACTGATCAGATATTTAAAGCTAAGCTAAGCTCACAGCGCAGAAACAATATGGGTACTATATTAACTATAAGGAAGTGTCCAACCCCCCTTCTTTTTGTTTGCAGAGGAGTTTTTGTAAAGTTTCTCTGCACTGCATTCACATTCATACTGCACACCCATTCATTCTGCTTCCAATCATATCAGTCCCTGCCCTCAAGGAGCTAACAATCTAAGGTCATTATTTCACATACTAGGACAAATTTAGAAAGGAACTATTTAACCTACCAGTATATATTTGGAGTGAGGATGGAAACTAACACAAGCACAGGAAGAACCTGCAAACTCCATGCAGAAAACGTCCTGGCGGGGATTCAAACTGAGGACCCAAAAGCTGCAAAATAGAGGTGCTAACCCCTGAGCTACTGTAATTCAAGCTGGTGGCTCTTGGGAGAGGCAGTGTACAAGCTAACGTACATATTGCCAGCACACCAAGGATTCTTAAGTAACATCCAAACACTTTTATTCAGAGTCATCACATCACAGTAGAAGAGTGCAACATTTCGGGGCCATGCAGGACCACTTCTTCAGCAACATGATAAGGGCATACAGTAGTGCTAGAACATTTGGTACTGTACAAGGGCATGTCTACATCAAGTGGATGAAATGCTCTATAAACCACATAATTTCTGGACACTTTCACCCCCTTCCAGTCCAGTTGAATGACAATTGAGCGGTCATGCAACACTGTACCCATATGAATTTTTTTTTGCATTTTCTTGAGACAGATAAAACTTTATATTGGTGGTATTTATTCACCACTGGGATTTTTATTTGTTTGCTATATAAATGAAGAAGTCCAAACATTTTGAAAAAAAATCTGTTTTTCTGCACAGTGCAGTGTTTTTTTTGCAAATAAATAATCTTTCTTCATAAATCTTGGCCAAATGTATTCAGCTATCTTTTTAGTAAAAAAAAAAAAAAAAATTAATTTAGAACCAAAAATTATTTTTTTTTTTCATGTTATTATTTGTTTTTTTTTTTACATACCATCACCCTTGCAGTACAGTGTCACCATAGTGATGAAGATTTTTTTTTTTTACACTGGTTGCTTTTACACCCATAAAGGCTGTAAAAACAATTATTCCTCCTCTTTGGCTGCATTCTTGCAGCCATTGAGAAATACTTTGAGAGCTGTGATTGGTCACAGCTTGTCACATGGTACAATGCTTTTGTGAATAGCCTTGTACCATGTGACCTCTGTGATCATTCACAGATTTCACACATAGTAAGCAATGATATCAGCAAGTGACATTTTGCTTACTATTATTCATGTGATCACTGATTGGCCAATCAGTGATCACATGATCGGGACCTCACACAGAGGTCGTACAGGACGTACAGCAATCAGGGAGCGCACACTGGCAGAGAATGTGGGAGAATGTTTATAAACGGTCACCCGCTCCTGCACTGCTCCCTTCCGGCCTTTTATGTACATGGGCTGGACGGGAAGTGGTTAAACTTCTACCTCAGCAGAAACTTAGGCAGTAGGCACAGGCAGAAAGAGCATTTGCACTCAATAAATATATACAGTGTATGGCATTGTTATGTATACTAACCAGTGTAGATTCAGGATTGGTGTGCTTTTGCTTTCCATTCTTAAGACACAGCATATTAGGCTTAAAACAAGGCCTCACTGGCCTCTGTAGCAGCAGGCACTGTGGAACAATTAATCTTCAAATTTCACAGCAGAAGCAGAGAAGTCGCCAAACTCAGGTCTCAGCAGCTCAGTTCACCCTAACTCTAATTTCCCCCACACACACACGCAGACACATGCACCCTCCAGGATAACCTCCTTTGTATCTGAAAATTATAGTTTTGCATCTTGCATGGAAAGTGTGTGTTTAAGTATGTAACTCTGATATAGATTATATCACGTTTTTATTGTGATAATGTGTTATCAATTGTTATGATGACTTAAGGATTGATAAGTGCATAAATACCTATTGATCATGTCAGAAATTCAGAGCTGTCCTTTTTCCTCTGTGCACATCTTATTTTGCATATCTTATTTTGGACAGCAGAATGATTAGCCTTTATCATGTAGAGATCTGAGTGAGGGTAGTTTAACAAAAGACAATGAACAGGGCTTTCACCACTGAGCCCACAAAAATGCTGTATGTTGTCAGCCCACAACATGACTAAGGCTAGGTTCACATATGTGCGGGTGGTGTCGCAGCAGATCCGCAACACCCACGCAGAGAAATACGGACCCACGAGGGGTGCCATTAATTCTAATGGCACGCCCGCCCGCACTGGAAAACACAAACGTAGTGGGAACCTAGGTTCCCGTGTGGGCTGTGTTTTCGGAAGAAGTGAATGGGCTCTCAAGCCCGCGCAAAACACGGCCCGCCTGGTCGCATATATGTGAACCGGGGCTTAAAGTAGAACTAGTAGGCCTCCTTGAATCCACTTCCTGTCTAGCCACTAACTGCATGCACTTCAATGCATCGGTGGACAGACAACTCATGGGGCCCCCGGGCAATGGGGGATCATGGGGCCCCTGTGCCCTTGCCCAAATTAAAAAAAGCCTATGAAAAAGGTACCAGAGCATCTCATGGGGCCCCCTACTGACCGCGGGCCCTCGGGCAGTGCCCGAGTTTCCAAATGGTCAGTCTTACCCTGCTTCAGTGAAATTTTTATGTGTAGCACCACTCCCATAGGCAGGGCTGCTGTTAGGAACCACGGGGCCCCATACAGCCAACCTGACAGGGGCACCCCAATCACTCACTGTGTTCATTCAGGAAAGGAAGAGGCTGTTAAATGTGACATATATACAGGACCTTTCCCCCACTTTCCATCCTGAGGGATCCTTTTGTGTGCTTGTAGCTGCCAGTGGGAAGGAGAGGAGCCGGTAGCACTGCGGGGGGCCTGGGCAGCCAGGGGAAACGTATAGTTCACAGGGAGGCTCATGGGTGTGGTGGGGAGGCAATTACTGGAACCGATCTCCTGTATGGCTCTCCCTGCAGCAGCTGAAAGTCACTGGGAGGGAGAGTAGAATAAGCCAGCTTTCAGCTGCTGCAGAGAGAGCCATACAGGGGATTGGTTCCAGTTATTGCCCCCTGCCGTGCCGATCACCCTCCCTGCCCACATCTGATTTGCCCTGCCTGGGCCCCACTGCTGGCCTGGGCCCATACAGGAGGACTGGTGGTACCACCTTATCCACAGCCCTGAGCGTAGGAGCCACAGGAATACTGTCCAGGTGTTTCTCCATAAGCTTTACCCTGCAGTCAGGCACATAGGCTCATTCACACGTTTCTCCAGTGACCAGTCTAGGGATGTTGTTTTTGTTGTTTTTATTATTGGAGAACTTGGATGGAGTTGAGGGAATTAAATGAGATACTCCAAAAACAAGTACACTCCAAGAACTGTGTACACTTGAGGACTTAGGTATTCTTCAGGACAAGCTATAACAAAGTCTGTTCTTGTAACAAACAGTAGACTTCAGCCTTAAGGTAGTAGTAGTAAGCTATAAATCTATTTCTTAGAACCATAACGTGTTACTAAACCCACAACAGTAAAATCAGTCTGTATATGCAGTAAAGCATGCTTGTTATACTCACTGTGGAACCTAAGGGGTTAATCCTCTGCATTCTGTAAAAAGGTTGTTTGATCCTGTTTTCTCTGCCCCTCCTCTTGTTCAGATGTCCACCTGATAAGACAGACTGAACCCGTAGAGCCACATGCTCATGCTCAGTTTAGTGTGTATTGCTAGAGAAGTTTTTTTTTATTTTCTTGGGAGAGTGCATGTGATCAGCACAGGGCCAATCAGTACTGTCCAGACAGAGGATTGGGGGTTTTGTATCCTCCTAGAGCAGAAATAAATCTCCTCCTACAAGCTTTAACCAGTGCTCTGCTGAAGTCACTAGACTGCTCTAACTGCTGATAAGAAAAGTTATTTAGCAGTTTATATTTACTAAAATAATTGCATTTTCACGTTCTGTGTACTGTGGGAGACCAGATAGAGTGAATGCAGGGTCCTGGGTTTAATAACACTTTAAGAGCAGAATCATTTCAAGTAGGAGATTAGGTGGACAAAGCTCACCAGCCAGTGTTCCCTTTAGTTAGACCCACTCTGATTCTAGCACCAGAGAGGTATTAGCAGCACAATGTCTTCTTCGGGAGTGTCTGTACTTACAAGGCCCAAGGACAGATGGTTGCCTTCATCTGTGATGCCAGAAGAGATCTTCAGTAAAAGACCCCTCCAGTCAGCTCTTAGAAGTTCCCGGGTTTCAGCATTCAGGCCTTCAGGTCGCCCACCTGAGGCTTTTTGTGGCAGCATTGCCTGGGAGGGCAGCATGCCCCCTTCAGGCTGGACCAATCCTCTATAGGAAAGACCCTGAACTCAGTGTGTTCACTGAATAAATACAGTCTCCCAGCGTGCCATCAGAGCCTACCTCTCTGGGATAGACCATGGCTGTATCAATATTCATGTTGCCTTCTGAATAGCTCGACACCTATCATCTAGAAACTTCTCACTCTCTTTGAATGTAGAGGGAGCTATCAGACTAGCAGCAGCTGAACACACTGAGCAGACCTGACTAGTAGAATGCAGCCTCACTGAGTACTGTGAGCAAACTACGCTTTTACCTAACAACAATCGCAGCCACACTGACTACAGTGTAGTAACTAAATTTACCTATCAAAGCACATACTAAATCTATGTATCTAAACCTAGCACCTACATTATCTAGGAGGGTGCTACATTTGTCATTTTTCTGGGCAGGTTTCCTGATGGCAACCACAGTGGACCATGGATGTCCAATGTGCGTTAGCACAATCACTTATATTTCCCATTGGGAAAGTATGTAACAGGGTGATACTGCAAGAGAACAATTCAGAGACAGATAATTGTCATTCTTGAACAGTAAGTGCCCGAATAAGAACCTTCATAGCAGGATCACTAGGTGTTATTTTAATTAAAACTACAGATATAAATATTTTCAAAATTACTTTTGAAATTAAAGATACTACACTCTCCAGACTTTTATGCCATCTCAGTCATGCAAGGGACACTGCCAAATCAGCCTGACGATTAACTCTAGACTGATCGATGCACCACATAAGCCACCTCAAGCAACTCTTACAACCACAAATGAAATATAGTGATGCCAGCATTGCATAGCTTCTATAATAAAATCCTTAGGTACTTCAATTCCACATTACATACAAAGAACCTACCACTGTGTAAGATAAACTTGGATACAGCCCTATTGATCTTGATACAAGCCTTATCTGCTCCATTTGCTCCCTGCCAGTAATCTGGGGAAACTACAGTAGCATTAAGTCAGATTTAATTGCCTTGATAAGGCTCCCCCTTTTACTCTTAAATACATGAACAATTAATTTATCCAGTGCGGGCCTCATATACCGATTCAGTGCAGTCTCATCAATCAAGTTGGAGAACACTGTCTAAGCTCTACTCTGTGGGTTGCCCAGAAGATGAAGGATGTGCCATTATCCAGACCATACAATTTCCAAAATCTAAAGATATAAGAAAACATACCAAAGAAAAGAGGAAAGGAACCATGAAAAAGGCCTCCAAAATAAAATTAAAAATTGCTGAACAGGACTGGCCCTCGATACATAATTTTTCATGCTCAGCCCTTAGGCTAATCACAGAAACTCCCCTGATGTAGACTATATAATGCTGATATTCCCATCTTCTTATATTTTTAACCACATCCACTAACATATCTAATCTGGATGCTTCCACAGCCCCCCTGTCCAAAAGTGTACCATAGTCTAACTTCCACAGGCACATCCTGAAGACTGCCATAAACTGGAAAAAAGAAAAGTAAGACCCATCTACAGGAACTTTAAAAGGGTCTTTCCTCACAGGATGCAAAACTACAAATGCCCTACAAGCTACTATAGGCCATGTCCCGCAACCTGCCATATGGAACACGGACAGATATATAGCACATCCAACCTTATCCATTTTGGAGCAAAATATCAACAGACATATCAGAGAGAAACACATACAGTAAGAGATTGCCAGACACCCTGGGGATTTGGTGTTGGGACTAATGAGTTCCCTGTTGAGTACCATAAAAGGCCAAGGAAAAAGCCGCCATAAACAAGGCCACCTCAAATGATGAACTGCATACAATAGGCTATTTTACACAATACCTTTTGAAACTTCTCAAGGAACCAGATATTGATGATCCGCATACCTACTACCCTTTTTTCAACCCTTTTCACCCCAGAAAGTTAGTTAAATTCGACCAACCCAACAGTTCACCCTGATATCAGCTTCTTGGAGTCCCCTGTAAAGCAGAGTTGGCGTGCGAGAGGAAGAAGCAGCACAAGTAGCCAATTTGTTCTTG